AGAGAGAGAGAGAGAGAGAGAGAGAAGGTTACACACACCTTATCAACAACGGATCACATTAGAGTTGATTAGACAGTGACGTGAGAGGCAAATACACTGCTTAGCAGAATCGACACAAGCCCTAATGCTGTTCTCAGCATTCCCTTTACACCAAATAGTGGTGCCATGATGCCATCCAGACGGACACGGACAATGGTCATATATTTATAAAGACAGCCTGATAGCCACACACCATTACATACAGAGGCACACCCCTTCCATACACAAGAGTATATATATATATCTGTCAGTCACAAGGACAACCAGCACAAGGGCCCTAACTGAACGCAGACTCTTTCCATACAACAGCAGCGACCAGCATAGGGAATAATGTGAACGGTTTTTTTTAACTTTTTAGGTAAACATTCTTCTATTTTAGAGAATTTGGAACAATTTTCTGCGTTTTCTTTAAACACAAATAAAAGAATAGAAAAACCAATTGAAGGAATTGATGATCAATCGCTTGATTCAAAAAAGGGATACTCCCATTCTGCATACATATATGAACAGCTGCCTCATCCTCCACGTGAATTAAGCTCCAAATCAGGAAGAACTGAAGACAGAGAAGAAAAGGACAAACTGAAGCATGGCAGTGAGGTGGCCACGCTTGCAAATTTCGGAGGGAGAAAAGACGACACAACGATCGCAGTTGGAATTGAGCAACGAGATGCAAACCAATTGAAGCGCGACATCAAGGTAACCATTTCTCAAATTTTGGAGGGAGGGCGTAAAGACCACACTATGATTGCAGCTGGAAGAGAGCAGAGGGACGGAAAAGCAGACGATAGGAACAGCACCTTGAAGCCAACTGGATTGTTCAGGCAGGCTTGCCAATCTTTCTTCATCTCCCGCAGTGGAACGCGATCATGAGGTCTGCCAAAACAAATTGTCCACCGTTAGATCGTGGACCACCGTGGTGCATTCAGGCATCGTCATCCTCAACCGTAAGGTCTGAACATGAATGCTGGGTTCCGCCATTCACAGTGAACACTCGATAACCAAAAATCGAAAAGAAAATTTAGGTCGCAAAAACGTCCGTTAAGCACAGGACGCCACCAAAAACACAGTATCAAATGGGAATATCTTCTGGGAGTTGGATAAAGAAACAAACCGAAAAAAAAAGGAAAACAAAAAAGGGACAAAAAACAGAGTCGGCGCAGGGCGGGGGGAGGAAGGCGAACCTAAAAACGATAAACTGATTGAATCCGCCCGGGGGAGCGGGGGGGGGAAACAGAAAACCTATGCAGTAGTATGGACATCAATAGCTTCAGTTGAAGCAGAACCTAAAATGGGTAGGGGTGAGAGGTGAGTCTCTGCCCTCCGGACCGAATGCGACAGTTTCCCATTCATACAGCTCTTCACCAGCAAAAAAGACTACAAAGCTACAAACAATACCCAACATGGATATTGTGAACGGATGGCCCGAGAGCCCATTTCGAAAACAGAAAGTGTACAACACAACAGAAAAGGAGGACGGGAGAGGCTTCACTTGAACCTTCTCCGTTCTTTCCTTTTCTCTTTTCTCGCTCTTCGTCTTTTACTTTTGTTTCAGGACCGAGATTCCCCGTGTTGGTGTGGTTGAGCAGGAAGTGCCCATGCCCACACACCTGCCCCATACAGCAGCGAGCAAGCAGAAGCAGCCTGTTGAATACAGCAGACATTATGAATGGAGGAGCTGGCAGTAGAGGAGTCACCTTATGAATCGAGGAGCTGTGGCATAGTTGGATGGAAGACTTAGAAGGAGCGCAGGAGTTTACTATACTCCCCTTTTTATCCCTCTTACAGATTCTTTGAGTTGACAGGGATGCACTGTTGCTTTTGCAGCAAACCGGCTACCGTCTTTACCCCCAAATCGAACGCCCAGTCATTATTGTTAATCTACAGAGTCGTATAGACTATTAGACTGAAAACTGCACCCAATACAGCTATATGACATAATGACAGGGCAGCGGGCATTCTATTTGAGTTGTTAGATCAATTGCAACTCACCTCTTTGGTCCAGCAAGGCAAGGCTCCACACTGTTCAAATCAAGGTCCAAATGCGAAGAATAAACCTTGTCGTCAACAGGCTGCAGACAACATAAAAGAGTCACGCGACGCCAGAAAAGTCGGGGAACCGCGAGCACAAAATATTCACGAGGGCAACATGCCACAATTTATGAACGCGGGATGCTGTGGACAAAGGGCCGAAAAACAAGTTTGAAAAAAAAACTCCACACACTCCCCCAAGCTCCGCGAAGAGTCCTCGTTAAGTCGTGTCGTACAGCGGACATTTCACCCATCCACTGAGGCGCAACCTCCACACAATCCCCCAAGCTTCCGGAAGAGTCCTCGTTGCAAAGTCATTACGCACATTTCACCCATGCAATGAGGAGCAACCTCCACACACTCCCCCCAAGCTCCCCGAAGAGTCCTCGTTGCAAAGTCGTACAACAGACATTCCACCCATCCAATGACCAAAAAGTCAAAAGCATTTAAAGCACTCCTGACTTGAAAAGGGGAACCTCAACCAAAAAAATATATATTTGCAAGGGCATCATGCTATGAACTTATTATATAAAATGTTATAAATGCGACACGCTGTGGACAAAGGCACGAAAATTTTACAATGCAAAAACCCGTGGCAATCTCTACACTACTACTCTTTTGCGGCTCCCCTGGCGGGCCTGAGTCGTATTATACACTTACATTATCAACTAAATAAATTCAAACCTTGAAACAAGTTAAAAAGTACTCCACAAACTCCCCCGATCTCCCCAACGAGTCCTCGTTACGAAGTCGTACAACGGACTTTTCACCCATCCAATGAGCAAAGCCTGGAATTCAGCCATAGGAAGCAAACACAGAGTCCCAGCAAGACTTCCGTAGCCGATTGCTACAGGGGTGATCATGCATCTCATGCTTCCGACTTTATGCATTCAACTTCCCCAAGCTTGGGCCCAGAGTCCTCGTTACAAACTCCTCACCCCCCCCCGACTTCATCCGTCCAAGGAGTTCAGCCTGGACTCCTTGGATATCCCAAAGAAAAACAGAGTCCTGTAAAGCCTGCCACAGCCAACAATCGCATCCGGTGTGAAACTTCTTCCCACTTGCTGCCATCCTTTCTCACTAGGAACCACAGATATAGTTTTTTTTCCCCCTACAGCAGAATATCATCGGGTCCCATACCTGGGAAGGGGGGAAGAGCAGGGATGGGTCCGTATTGGCGGTCTGGTCTGGTTTGTAGTCAGTGCCACAGTGGTACTACTCGGTACTACCGTCTTCACCCGAATAGAACGCGGTCATTATCGCTGTATTTGGCACAACTTTCGGTCCAGATGCAGCGATAATTACCGGGCGTTCTATTCGGGTGAAGACAGTAGTTATTGTTAGTACACATTCAGGTTAGGGCATATAGTCTGGTTGGAACCTGGTCAGGTTAGCACACGAGTTGGTCTGGTCAGTACATGGGCTGGCTGGTAGCCGGTCTGGCATTGGTACTGGTTGGTATTGGTAGGTAGTACAAACAAGCGATACATGGTCCGGTCGGAAGTGGTCGGTACTGATTTGTACGTTGTCTGGTTGGTACTGGCCGGTACACGGGACTCGGACAAAGCAGTGGCAAGCGATGGCCACGGACCAACCATAGCCGACAAGAGAACTGGGTTGAGAAAGAATGGACAGCTCCTTCTAACTCAGAAAACCAAAGACTTCCACGACATCACAGCCTTCAGTCAAAAAGGGTAAATGAGCGATGAAGGCAAAAGAGTCGTCTCTAAATTGAGATACCTGCCTCCAGGCAAAAAGTGTAAAACGAGCATTATTGGATGATTGGAGGCAAAAAGTCTTTATTTCAACAAATTGACATTCCAATCACCGCAACAAACTGAGATCCCAATCACCGCATACCGATGTCAATTTTGCAACAAAAAAAAAAAAAAATATCCCGTACTTTCGGGCAAACACAAAAGCACAGAAGCCTTTTTTTCCTTCTTTTTTTTTTCTTTTTTTTCAAAAGCCTTTCTGATTTCGGCAAATTATGATGTGAATCATGTGACGATCGTGATCCCATTACCTCAATCATCAAAAATACTACCAGCGCCAAAATGCAGATGTAGGTCTACCTTGTAAAGCCAGTACCTTGTGTATCAACTTCTGCCTGCCATTTTCAGGCATGTCGCACAACTCGTCCCACTTCAGACAGCTGCAAATCAGTTTTCAACTTTTCAGCAAATTGTGTTGTGATCCCCTTACCTCGAGGATCAATTGGACCACCGCACGAGAATGCCGATCGATGTAGGTCTACCTCTTAAAGCCATTACCTTAGGGATACTATTCGGGTGATTACTTTTGCCTGCCATTTTCAGGCATCTCGTCCCATAACTCATCCCATAACTCATCCCATAACTCGTCCCATAACTCGTCCCATAACTCATCCATTTCAGACAGCTAAAAATCAGTTGAGTACGGTAAGAGTATGAGCAAGCAGAAGGGAACTGCCTGCACTTTTTTTTTCTGTTTTTTGAACTTTTTTACCCATGAACCATTTCTCGGTTTATGCCTGCTTTTATTGCCAAAAACAACAATGAAAAAAACTTAAGGATGAGAAAACATGAAACTCGATGAAAGAGAAAAAGACAAATGAGAAAAGGACCATTTTCTGCATGCCTTACCTGCTTGTAATCAACGAATAGATCATTTGCCCGAAGATAAGCTTCAATCAATTCCACCTGGTCCGTACGGAGATCGAGCAAACAGTTCGAGCGCGCACACATGTGAGAACGGTATACGAAATGCATTTAGGCATCAACCAACGTACACAGAGCCTAAAATCAGGCAGGCATCATTGTCGAGGCCTGCCACTCATCTCCCCCACCATTGGTACACAGCATTAGCGGCAGCCCACTAAACACGAATTTCATTTTTTATTTTTATTTTTAATTGAAAAAAAACTCGTTGCTTTGCACCCTTCTTTTTTCATCAATCAATTTCTATACTGTCTTCACCCGAATAGAGCGCCCGATCATTATAGCTGTATCTGGACTGAAAATTGCACCAAATACGGCTATAATGACCGGGCGTTCTATTCAGGTGAAAACGGTAGTGCTACTTTCATGCTCGGAACACACGAATCAACAGAAGAGTACTACTGTGTGTCTTCATTCACAAAACAACGCCCGAGCGGTACATTGAAAAAAAAATTCTTTTTCTTTTTTTCCCCAAAAAGAGACACAGGCCCCTTCTATTCTGGGGGGCAACAGCCCGGTTGCTTATCACCGGCAAGCATGTTTGTACATCCAAGAAGGGGGAAGAAAAAGAGTCAGCCTATCCCTTGCGGCCCTGGCCACCTACAAGGGGGAGGGACCTGCTACAGGGCACCTGACCTCCCAATCCTTGGCCTTCCTTAGGAGGCAGGTTGCCCTACTGGTCGGGAAGCTTATGAGCAGCACCCATTCGTGCAGACAGCAGCCTCCCGGATCGCAGACATTAAACTTACTCTAAGAAAATCAGATTTTTTTTTCTACTTCTTTTGAAGTCCTTTCCGAATAGAACGCCCCCTTCAAATATTCGGGTAGCACGCCCACCGAAAAACAACGCCCGGGCAGTATATTAAACGGATAGCACGCCCACCCGCCCGGGCAGTATATTAAACGGGCAACTTGAAATATTCGGATAGCACGCCCACCCAAAAAATCAGATCTTCCCC